TATAAAAATTTATTTATTATTATTATTATTATTTTACATTTTTAAATAATTAAACAAAAAGCAAATGTTGCATTATATCCGGCTATATTATATTAAAATGTATTTATTATTATTATTATTTCAAAATTTTAAATAAATAAACAAAAAGTAAATGTTGCATCATATTCAGCTATATTATATTCAAATGTATTAAATTGTAACATTTTAAATAATAAAAAAGTATTACATTTTAAACATTTTAAATAATTAATAAAATTGTTGTACATCCAACTAGACTGTATTAAAAATTTGTTTTACATTTTTAGCATTTTTAAATAAACAAAAAGTAAATGTTGCATTATATCCGGCTATATTATATTAAAATGTATTTATTATTATTATTATTATTTTACATTTTTAAATAATCAAACAAAAAGTAAATGTTGCATTATATCTGGCTATATTATATTAAAATGTATTTATTTATTTACATTTTTAAATAAATAAACAAAAAGTAAATGTTGCATTGCACCCAACTATATTACATTAATATGTATTTTTTTATGTTTTTAATGTAAATAATTTTTTGAAATGTTGAAATATTTTTTTGTCAAATCTGTGCAGGTTCTGGCTGGCGGTGCAGGAGCTGAAGAAGCGTCCGATCCGGGAGGTTCCCAGCAGGGTGCAGGAGATCTGGGATGAGTTTCTGGCTCCTGGAGCTCCGAGTGCCATCAATGTCGACTCCAGGAGCTACGACAAAACCACGCAGAACATCAAGGATCCCGGCCGATACGCTTTCCAGGACGCTCAGGTCTGTGTTTCAGCTTTACTCAGCTCACGTGAGGCTCTCGTCATCGTCTCCTGAACGCTGTGTGTTTGTGCGTCATCAGGAGCACATCTATAAACTCATGAAGAGTGACTCCTACAGCCGCTTCATCAGATCCAGCGCCTACCAGGAGATGCTGCAGGCCAAGAAGAAGGTAAAGCCTCTGAAGCGCCTGGAAACGGCCATCTAAATGTCCTCATTCTGCTTCAGTTACTCCTGTGTTTATTTCTGTTTAACCCCTCGTCTCCCGTCGCGAGGTGTCTGCCGCGTCTCGTTTGTTTTGCACGTGTTTCTCTTTGTTTCTTCTTCTGTTCTGTTGTGTCTGTTTTGTTTTGAAGTGATGAAACAGGAAGTGCTGATTGGCTGGTTTTTCTGTGATGTGGTGAGTTCTGTCAGACGGATCGTCTCTTCAGTGTCAGAGATGTATAGACATGCTGGAAAGTACCACAGAAAATCATTTCAATCAGTCTCTCAGCATTACTAAATGCAAATTGCATGATACAAATTGTAGTTAGTAATATAATCTGTTACATTACACATTTTAGGTAATGTAATCTGACTACTTTTGGATTACTTTTAGATTACTTTTGACCCAAATAATTTAAGTAATTTCTTTTATTGATTTTTTTATTTTTATTTTTTTTTATTTTGTAGTGTTTATTTAGTATTTATAGTATTTTATAGTATTTCTTATTTTTATATATTTTTTAAAAGTAAAATAAAATAAAATTACACATTTTAGGTAATGTAATCTCACAATTTTGGATTACTTTTAGATTACTTTTGACCCAAATAATTTAAGTAATTTGTTTTTATTGATTTTTTAAATTTTTTATTTTATTTTGTAGAGTTTATTTAGTATTTATAGTATTTCTTATTATTTTTATATTTTGTTTATAAAATAAAATAAAATTACACATTTTAGGTAATGTAATCTGACTATTTTTGGATTACTTTTAGATTACTTTTGACCCAAATAACTTAAGTAATTTTTTAATTGATTTATTTTTATTTTATTTTGTAGTATTTATAGTATTTATAGTATTTCTTATTTTTTTCTATATTTTTTTAATAAAATAAATTAAAACTAAATAAAATTACACATTTTAGGTAATGTAATCTGACAACTTTTGGATTACTTTTAGATTACTTTTAGACCCAAATAATTTAAGTAATTTTTTTAATTGATTTTAAAAAAAAATTTATTGTAGTGTTTATTTAGTATTTATAGTATTTTATTTTATAGCATAGTATTTTATTTTTATTTTGTAGTATTTCTTATTATTTTTTATATATTTTTATAAAACAAAAACAATTTTTTTTGCCTTGCCTTGAATAGGATAATCTTGTTTCATAATGACATAAAAATACAAAGAGAAATAAAAATATTCCATTCTTTGTTATCAAGAACATGAAATAAATAAAAGAAATAAATAATTTTAAATTAAAAACAATCCAAACGAAACATTTACTAAAAAAGATACAATATTTTATTTGTTTATGCTGTTTGATTTCTCAATTTTCTGTGCGTTCAATTCCACAAAACTGGACGATTTAACAAATGAATTTAAGCAATAGTCCTTTTGGAAAGGAGAATGTAAAATATAAAAAGAATCAGGGAGAATCAATTAATTAGGAGTATTTTATTGCCATTTTGTGAATATGAAGTGATCAATTAAAAAGTAACTGTAGTAGTCTGATCAGGAGTATTTTAAAATGTAATTAAATCTAATATCAAGTATTTAATTATTGGAATCTGATTATGTAATCCAGCACAATCTCTCAGTTTGTAAAACTAAATGAAACTGTAAGTGTTTGGGGAGCTAGAGAATGTAATTGTTCTTTCATGAATGTAGCACTTTTTCTTCGACACACTCGATCGTCTCGCGGCTTTGATCCCTTCATCAACTCTTTCTCTTTTCCTTCACAGAAAAGCAAGAATCTTTTCTAGGGTCTGAATCTCAGGTGAGTTTCAGCTTTGCATTATTTAGAATATCAGAGCATGGATATTAAACTGAATGATGAGAATAGAGCGTAAACGGCTCTATAATGTGATGAAGCTACAAATCTGTCGAGTCAAATTCATTTGCATTTCATTTTTAACAGACATTGTTTGAATCAGCTTTACAGAAAATAATGATGTTAATGTTTATAATATCTTATAGTTGCATTGAACAGATTAGAGCTGGACAATAATAGTTACATTAATGACGATATAAAGAGTCCGCTTTACATGAGCACACTGTATGCTGTATGTTTACTTGTGTCCAGTGTATATATTACAGAAGCCTGAACCACAATGTGAATAAAAATCTCAAGGTGGGGAAAAAAACATCTTAGTTATTAAGAGAGAAAAACATTTTGAAGAGAGAAAATGTAAGAGAAAATTACATTACAATTACAATGTAAGAGTAAAAATGTTTTTAGTGAGATTTTTGTTTTGTTTCGTTTTGAGGAGAGAAAATTGAAGAGAAAAAAGTTTTTGGAATTTATTTTATTTTAGTTTGTTATTTATTTGTTTGAACAGAGTAAAAATGTTTTTTTGTGAGAATTTTTTTTTTTTTGTAAGAGAAAACGGTTATAGAGAGAAATTTGGATTTTGTTATTTTTATTTATTTGTTTATATTATTTCTTTTTTTTAAGAGAATAAAAATGTTTTTGTTGAGAGAAAAAAACATTTGTTTGTTTTTTTTATATAAGAGAAAAACATTTTGAAGAGAGAAAATTTAAAAGAGAAAAAATTAGAATTTTATTTTAATATTTATTTTATTTTTTTGAAGAATAAAAATGTTTTTGTTGAGAGAAAAAAACGTTTTTATTTTAGTTATTTATTTGAAGGAGAAAAAATGTAAGAGAAAAAAGTTTTTGGAATTTATTTTATTTTTGTTTTAGTTATTTATTTGTTTGAACAGAGTAAAAATGCTTTTTTGTGAGAATTTTTTTTTTGTAAGAGAAAACAGTTATAGAGAGAAAAATTTGGATTTTATTTTTATTTATTTGTTTATATTATTTCTTTTTTTTAAGAGAATAAAAATGTTTTTGTTGAGAGAAAAAAACATTTGTTTGTTTTTTTTATATAAGAGAAAAACATTTTGAAGAGAGAAAATTTAAAAGAGAAAAAATTAGAATTTTATATGAATATTTATTTAATTTTTTTGAAGAGTAGTTTTTTTTTTACAAGAAAAAATTGGAATTTATTTTTTTGAACAGAGTAAAAATGCTTTTAGTGGGAGATTTTTTGTTTTGTTTCGTTTTGAGGAGAGAAAATTGAAGAGAGAAGTTTTTGGAATTTATTTTAGTTATTCATTTGAAGAGAGTAAAAATTTTTTGGGTGAGTTTATTTTTAATTTTTTGAAGAGAAAAAAAACGAGCGAAAAATGTGGATTTTTTAAAATTTGTATTTATTTGCTCATTGTTATTTTTATACATTTTTTTATTTTTGAAGAGAGTAAAATTTTTTTGAGAAAACAATTTTTTTTTATATAAGAGAAAAACATTTTGAAGAGAGAAAAAAAGTTTGATGAGAAAAAAAAATGTCAGAGAGAAAAGTAATCTTAGGACTGAGGCTCAGGAAGGGCTTTTTAGGAAGAGCAGAGGAACTGAACTCTATTGCTTTCATTTGGACTCCAGCAGTTTCTGCTGTTTGACGTGTGTGTGTGTGTGTGTTTCTCTCTCAGATGCCGTCAGCAGGCGAAGCGCTTGTAAAATCACGCAAACATCACGTTACACATCTGTACATTAATGCTGATGATTATAACGAGCATGAGCCGAACACACTGGACCTTCTCCAGGACCTCCGGAGAATCACTCATTCTGTCAGCGCTCACGGCTCTCACTTTCTCTCCATCGGAGCTCTTAGTTATTTTTATATCTAAGAACATGTTTTGTTTTCTGCAAGCTGTGCTTCTGTAAGTGTGTACAGATCTGGAGAATCAGCGTGATTTATGATGAGGAATCATACAGTCACTGCCGCTTGATGGACGTGAAATAATGTACAGTGTAGACTGTAATGGACGCTAATAATAATAATATTTGGACACCTATAATTTACCATCTGTACATTAAACATGACGCACCATCCATAAGGTAATGTTCATTTATGGACTCAATAAGCGAGATGATAACTTGATGTGATTTATGGACCCTGAGCGACACGGATCTGACATCTGCATCATACAGTATTTCATTTGAGTTCTGTTTCTTCAGAAAACGACTGCGATCCAAAGATTATGAGCGGAGAGAAACGACCAGCTCATCCGGTCTGGGTTCCTGTGTTTATGATATAGATTCTGTACATAATTCCACAGTTACATAAAATAAAGGGACTGGAGATGAAAGTGAATCGTTCTGAATCATTTGTGTTGTTCTGAATCGTTTGTTTTCTGAATCATTTGTGTTGTTCTGAATCATTTGTTTTCTGAATCATTTGTGTTGTTCTGAATCATTTGTTTTCTGAATCATTTGTGTTGTTCTGACTCCTTTGTGTTTGTGTTGTTCTGAATCATTTGTTTTCTGAATCATTTGTGTTGTTCTGAATCGTTTTGTGTTGTTCTGAATCGTTTTGTGTTGTTCTGAATCATTTGTGTTGTTTGTGTTCTGAATCATTTGTGTTCTGAATCATTTGTGTTGTTCTGAATCGTTTTGTGTTGTTTTGAATCATTTGTGTTGTTTGTGTTGTTCTGACCAGCAGAGGGCAGTGAATCGCAGTGATTCGGTCATGATTGGGTTTAAGTCATTATTAATTCATGATTAATCATTCATTCTCATGAGAAAAGTTTCTTTCATTCATTTTTCACGTCATTTAATTTCATTCTCAAAAAAAAAAGTAATTTTTTCTGCCATAAAAGCTGATGTCATTTATTAACAGCTTGACTTTTTTTTATACTATAATAAAACATTTAATAATATTTATAAAATATAGTATAACAAATCAATTTACATAATCAGGATTTTTTTTTCATGAATAAATTTTGCCGATAAAACACTTTAGCAGTAATTTGACATGTCAACATTTCTCGTTTTGTAAACGTAGCGTTTCTTCTGTTTGTGTCACTGCATCATTCCCATGATTCCATTTGTGTGATTTCAGAGTGTTCTTCATGATTTTCTAACATCTTGGAAACAGACTAAAGCACGAGTAGAAGCTTGAGTAGAGCTGTTCAAACTCTAGTCTGATTATAGAAGTTAGTCCTGGTCACACACTAGAAATCTGTAAGATGGTTATTTTTAAATGCATCTATAAGAGCTGTGTTTTAAAAAAAATAAAGGCAATCCTAAACGCATTTAGGATGAGAGAGACTCGCATGCATTCACACAAACAACGCAGTAACACCAGTGCCAAAAATAACATTTACTATACATTTATATTAATTTATACTCTCTCTCTCTCGCTCTCTATATATATATAATTATAATGTTAAATATAGTTAAGAATAAATGCTTAAATTGTGAAAAAAATATGAAAAACAATATATATATATATATATTTTTTTTAAAGTTATTTTCAAATAATAAAACCAAATTGGAAAACAATATAGAGTGGAATTATTACATATTTAATAAACTACTGTCATAAATTATGCCTTTTACTTGGAGTTTCTTCAAACCTTTTTTTTTTCCATGACTGAAGTCAAGATATCTGGGATGATGCTTGTTAATTAACATTACATCAATTTAAAATCAAACCTCTGACTGATCCTGCATGATGTCTGCGAACAGAAAAAGTCCGAGGCAGTTCACTGAAAGCAGTGAAAACAGCTGGAAACTAGAGAGAGAGAGACGTGTGCTGATCAGAGCCAATAGAAAGCTCTCAGTGTGATAAGATCCACATGCGAGTGACGGAGACGAGTTCAAACACACAGAGAGAGAGAGATTGATAGAGTCTCCTCCAGAAACCGAGAGAATCCGTCAGAAGCAGGGAAGAGGCTCTCGTCTGCTCCGTTCATGGACGATCCCTGGCCCCTGGCCCTGCTCCGTCTCTGTCTCTGACCGCACACTCGTCCAGGTGAGGCTCTTTCATTCACACACTCCTTTCATCGCAAATATACTCTGCTATGCTTTTATAATCATAATCACTCAGAACTAGCCATATCTCGATTAATCGGCTGATGTTTGACCATTTTGAGGATCAGTAATATCCTTATCCATCTAGTCAAGCTGGTTATTTTCTAACTTTTTAAATGTTTAAAATAATTGTTTTTAATAAGATGTTTAATTTCCACAGTATTAATGTCAAAAACATAATTTATACATCATTCATGGAACATTTCATTTCGGTTTTAGTTGGATGTTTGAACTTTTTTTACACTTTACTTGTTTTCAGAGAACATTTAAAAATAACTTTCCGATAATGTTTGCAAAATTATCAAATAAAATGTACCTTTAATGTTTGTATAACCAAGATTTTTTTTTTTTTTTACTTTGTTTAATATGTTTGCAAGAATTGTTTTGAACTATTATAACTGTTTGTTTCAGAACATTCAAAAGTAACATTTCCATAATGTTTACAAAATGATCAAATAGAATATTAATGTTTGCACACCTAAGAAAAGTGCTGAATTTGTTCAAAATAATTATTTTTAATACTAAGTTTAATTTCCACAGTATTAAAGTCTTGAATAGTTTCTCAAACCGTTAGCACAAAGACATTTATACATCGTTCAATGATTTTAGTTGGATGCTCGTGTAACAATGTATCTACTTGTTTCAGGACGTTCAGAGAACATTCAAAAGTAACGTTCCTATAATGTTTGTGAAATGATCAAATGGAATGTTGCCTTTATGTTCGTATAACCAAGAAAAACATTTGTAAAACATTCTTAAGTGTTTAATGTTTTTAAATGATAATTTTTCTGCAGTTCAGTGCATCTCATTTACTCTCATTGAAGTGAATGTGGAATAGTTCTATAATAGTTCAAATGGATTCTAAACTGAAACTCTGCAGAGAGACAGATGGACATGAGGATCAACATGTAGAGATCAGAGAATCAGTGCAGAGCTCACACGAGTCTGAAACTCGAAATCAAACGGATCTCATCTAGATTTCTGAAATCAGAAGCTCGCTGTCAAACACAGAGACACTGGCAGGAGTTCCTGATGCTGCAGCAAAGCAGCAAGATACAAGCAGATCTAATCGACCAAGACAATCAATTACAACTAGCTTTAGCTTTAGATTTCAATTACAACTAGACGACGCACACATGCAACTTTAACCCATCAGTTTGAGCTCTAGAAACAGTGTGAAATCAGATCATTAGAGTATCTGCAGGCTCTTTCATGTGCTTTCTGGTGGATCTGCACATACACTGGAATAGTTACATTAGCAGAAACAAAGCTTTCCAGCTGCTGGCAATTACACGTGTGTGTGTGTGTGTGCGTGCGTGTGTGTGTGTGAGAGTGTGTGTGTGTGTGTGTGTGTGTGTGTGTGAGAGTGTG